CCAACCCAACCCAACCCAACCCAACCCACCCCAACCCAACCCAACCCAACCCAACCCAACCCAACCCAACCCAACCCAACCCAACCCAACCCAACCCAACCCAACCCAACCCAACGCAACGCAACGCAACGCAACGCAACCCAACGCAACGCAACGCAATGCAACCCAACACAACACAACACAACACAACACAACACACCACAACACAACACAACACAACACAACACACACACACACACCACACACACACACACACCACCCACACACACACACACACCACACACACACACACATACACACAAACACACACATACACACAAACACACACACACACACACAGACAGACACACAGACAGACAGACACACACACACACACACACACACACCCGCGCGCGCGCGATGCAGGATGCCGAGTCACGGCCGCACGTCTTCAGGTCTTAGTATCGACACCTATTCTCAAGCGGCTATTAGGGCAACGGCCAGGGTATTCAATAGTTCCAGCGTGTAGATGAACCTGGATGAACCAGCATGTCAGAATCAACCCAAGAGCCATGTGCTCAGTTCCTATACTCCGGCCTGCTGTAGCTGCTGTAGGCTCAGCAGCAACCGCAGCAGAATCTGACGAGACACGATGAGAGAGGCGACTTCGGGGTCTGCAGGCGCACAAAGGTTGAACAACAAAGCCTGGCCTGAGCACCGAGAAAAGCACGCCGTGTGACTCCGGTAGGATTTTTTTGGAGGGGGGTTCAGGGCTAAGGGTTTAGGGTTTCGATTCTCACACTTTTAGGGTTTAGGGTTTAGGGTTTGGGGCCGGAAAAGGGTTAAATGTTACCAATCCAGTCCGTAAGTTGCAGGTCCCGCAACATGCTGAAGGTTATCCCCGATGCCCCTCAAGCCCCGTCCTTGAAGACCTTATAAGGGAGCCTGAGATCCGGAACTCCTGCCTAAAGCCCTAGCACCCCTGAAACCCCACAGCCCAAACTTTGAAGCGCGACGTACGAGAAAACCCAAACCCTGATCCTCTAAACTCGGCCCGTGCCCCTTCCATGACCCCACATACTTTGTCTACCTGCCTCGCTAGAAACTCTAACCCGTGCCTGTTACCTAAACCCCGAAACTCCGAAGCCATAGAGCAATGGTATGGGAATTTCCTTGAGGGACCCTTGTATGAGCCTTTCAAAGGAAGCTTTAACAAAAAAAAACCTAAACCCCTAAACCCCTAAACCCCTAAATCCCTAAATCCTAAACCCCTAAACCCCTAAATCCCTATACCCTAAACCCCTAAATCCCCAAACCCCAAAACCCCTCGAGCCGACCTTTGTCTGCAGGGATCTGCTGTGTGGGCTCCGGCACGGCATCAGGCAGAGGGGGAGAAGATCTCCCGTCCGCCTGGGGGCCTGCCGGTTTAGGGTTTAGGGTTTAGGGTTTAGGGTTTATAGGGTTTATAGGGTTTAGGGTTTAGGGTTTATAGGGTTTAGGGTTTAGGGTTTCGTCTGCTAAGGGTTTCGGCGCTCACACTCGGACTGCTAAGGGCTTAGGGCTTATGGGGTTTGGGGGGCTTGGGGCGCAGGGTTTTGGGGTTGAGGGTTTCGAATCGCACGCTCGCACAAAACAGGCACGGATTCATGTGGTCGGTGATTGCGGTTGAGGGTTTAGGGTTTCGGGAGTTTAGGGTGCTTCCAAGGGAGACCGTTGTAGTACCCTTTCCCTTTCATCACTTGGGAATCATTTAAAAACAAACGATGAAACCCTCTTCGATGTGCTTGCTTAAACTATTAATTGCGAGGTTTTGGAAGCGCTGCATAGGCCAGGTCCCTTGTGCGGCTTCTTAGATTTACCCCAAGGGTCCATGTGCCCAAATAGTATCTACCCTGAGAGTAGTCCCGAAAATGGTACTTTGGGGCCAATGTATGTAGTATTTGGGTACATGGACCCTTGGGGTTAGTTTCCTTAGGCATTTGTGGCTTCAGGGTTTCGGGGCTGCCCCCGAGAAGGGGTGTTCAACAGGTTCGGCATACAAGTAGCAGGGATCCCACCATGCACCCCTGAAGCCTTGCAGGAACAAGCGGAATGGAAATCCAATGAAACCTAGAACTTGAGTCCCCAATGCTACCCCGAGAAGCCATGAGTCCATGTCCAGGTTTCACGCTCAAGGTTCAGATGATTCACCTGAGTCTGCTCTTGAAGGATCCGCCTTAATACGCTAGGCCGCTCAGCCCACAGATCATGCAGCACAACGCTCCTCGAGACAACACTGAAAACGGAGGCACCAACTTTTTCGTCTGCTGATGTTGCTCCCTTTGATGTCAGTCTGTACGGCCGGGCACATGTGGGAGGCAGTAGGGATCGAACTTGCTTGCACCAAGCTGCAGGGTGAGTGGATAACATGAGAAATCACAAATCTAAACCCTAAACCCTAAACCCTAAACCCTAAACCCTAAATCTGGAACTTCGGGACTCCACGAGAGAAACTGCGACTCGTGCCACTGCGGGTGCTGGTTTTGCTAGTACTGATGCAACTACTTCGAAGATTCTACAGCTAGTTACTACTACTACTACTACTACTACTACTACTACTGCAATCGCTGGCCAGGAGGTACGGCACAAAGCAAAGGGTCGAACAAGAATGAGCTAAATTGTAAGGATTTACGAATACCAGCCTCGGCATGTTATGTCTGCCGAGCTTGAGGAATGAGTGCTTCCTTGAAAGGTCCAATGCCACATAAAAACGTATGTGCAATCCAATACGGATATGAACATTACAGAGGAAACACCACATGAAGATTTGTGCATATCAGCTAGAGATCTGCACCGCTTTACGCTTGTGCGACTGCTCAGCCGAATCGTCCGCGGCCTGGCAATGGTGCGCAGCACTCGTCTGCAAGGGTTCAGGGTTTCAACGTTGTGGTCCTTGGGCTCCATATGCTCAGCATATGACTCCGCCACAACATCCCCTGAACCCTATACACACTACTCGCCCTAAGGAACTTCAAACCACACGGGATGAAGAAGACTGGGGCTTTGAGGGTAGCTGGACGTTTTTGGAGACAGGCCTCCGTAATGAAGAAGCCTTCAGAACTAGAACAAGGTTTTGCGGGGTATAAGCTTAGTCATCAAGAACCGTAAAGACTGGTCATGGCACAAATTTGGGCTTCTATGTTATTATACTCCGCACTGTCAGTCCCTAAACCCATTGTTTCTACGGGGCTCTCGCCTTACAGTATACCACCAAGAGTTGGAAAACCGGATTAAGGACAAACAGTGCTGGGATTCCATTTACATTGCTCTTAAGGATTGAGGCTCTTGGGTTCCATGGGCCTCTTCCACAGCCGTTTTGGGTTCAGGACAGTTCAGGCTCAGGTTATGAGAGCCGTACACCCCAGACCAGAGGACGACACTGGCTGAGATCTCGGAGTGGTTTGGAGCCTCTCGCGGCTTTCTATGACGACGACGCCAGGCTTACCTAACGCAGGGGCCTTGGGAATGGTTGGGACAGAGCTTTGGAGAGTATCTTTCAGTATTTCTATAAGGTATCTATGATAGGGCCTTACCAAACGGATTAGGGGGTATACTCTAGTATAGGTGTACCAAACAAACCTGGTAAATAGTATTGGTAATTATTCAGACCTTTATACTGCGTAGTGTTTGAACTGCAATCCGCTAGGCGCTCTTTGATGTTTTCAGGGTTTACTCAACTTTTATACGGCATTTTGCCGTGGCAAGCTGAAGCTGATCTTAAAGACGCCTACAAGCCATGCACCTTTGCACCAAAGCTCCAACGGCTACGCAGACCCTGGTAACTTATGCAGAAGTCCTTGAACCATCAACTCATGAACCCTAAACCCTTTGTTACACAGAACCCTAAAAGCATGACACCTAGGCCTTAAAAGCCTTGTCACAACCCTTACTTTTAGCAACCCTTGAAGGGGATCCTTATATAAAGCCGGCAAGGAAGCCCGCAGAACCTTCAACTAACAAAAGAACCCAGCAAACCTACAGGCCGTGCCGCCTCTTCCTCAGGGCGTCTGAATATGAGAAGCTGGCGCTGGAAGTTCTTCGGGAGATCATCTGCAAGGAATCCACTTCAGTACCCCTTCATGAAGGAATTCGGTGCCTTTACCAGTTTGTGCGAGTGCTGCAGGCTTTTATCGAATTACATAACGAACATTTACCTTAAACTATAACGACAGTCACAACTTTAAAACATACCGACCGTCACAATGATGTTACTACAATACATTCGCGGATGTCCCCGGCCGTTTAGGTGCTTGGCTGTTTTGGGGGCTCAGGCTCAGAGTTGAGAGATGAGTGCCGGGCGTTTAGGGCTTGTTCCCAGAGACTCCAATACCCCTTAATTAAGGAATATACCTTAAATCATACTAGGGATCCTACCATAATTTAAGGTATATTCCTTAATTCAGGGGTATTGGAGTCTCTAGGTTCCCCTTCCTACTCAGCAAGGACGCAGGGTCTGTTCGGGACTGTGGCAGATGCACAGAGGACATTCGTGATGAGAGAGCCTCATTTAGGCCGCGACAGTAGGTGAGCTGAGGGTTTGGCTTCAGGTTTCAGTTCCAGGCAGGCTACCATGCTTCTGTGGGTTCAAGCAGAAAGTGCATTGACTCGTCGAAACAGTATATGGGTAGTTCTCTAAATTCGGGTCCCTTTTGAGGTACGGCACCCTTATAAAACGGACCCTAAAAGGCACCCTAGTTTAGAGAACTACCCATATGCAGCACGAGCCGTGTGCCTGGAGGGTCGATCACGTCTACCTTCTCGAAGCCCAGGCCCACAAGATACTCGGCGAAGGCCTGTGAGACTTTCTAGGATCTTAAAGCTTCCTGGATGTATGCTTTCGGTCTGTACCGTTGTTGGGCCATTGTTTCTTGGAGCCTACGGTTTAGTACCGCAGAGACAGCAGTTTCCGGCAAGTCTTGAACAGGCTAGGGCCGATGCTGCAGCTTAGGGTCAAAGAGAGTAGGTTTAGAGGTAGAATCGGATTGCGGGCGCCTCAGGCATAATTTGTGAGGAATCATCCAGCCTCCATATTACAAGATTGGTGCTATGTCCATACAGGGGAAGGCCCTGGCTGCTAGGGTTTAGGATTTGGGCGCAGCATTTCGAAGCCTTGATACCTTAAGCTCTGAACGGATATGACTTAGCGACCCTACTGCGTCGGCAGTTAAGTTTCTCGCCGGTTTATGAACACACCCTCGTCCTGCAAACTAGAGAAGTACACCCTCACCCTTCGTATTGAGCCCAGCTTCCGGCTGATTCTCCTACTCTACATAAACCCTACAAATGCCTATAGACACCCTATACCCCTGAACAACGAAACCCTAATGTAAGGGCCTAAATGATTACCAATGCTATTTTGGGGGTTCCTTATCATGATTCTATTATTACAACCCCAAACCCCTGTTCGAATCGTCAAGGCCCCTACATTACAACCCTAAACCCTAAACCCTAAACCCTAAACCAAAACCCTAAACCCTAAACCCTAAACCCTAAACCCTAAACCCAAACCTGAACCAACCCGTCGCTGTCGCTCGCGCTCTCACGGACTCTGTCACCTCCCAGCCGCGACGCAAAAGACCCCAAAACCCTAAACCAAGCAGGGTTTAGGGTTTAGGGTTTAGGGTTTAGGGTTTCTAGAACCAACCCAAAACCCATGAGCCCTAATGTAACCCCTTGGCCTCAACACACATAGTTAAGCCCCAAACACCTGAACACTAGAGAACCCTTAAAAAGCACCCGGAGCTCGGCCTCTGGGCGGATTTCAATGGAAGCCACGGTGTCCCGGATGGCCCGAGTGATGTGGCGCTTCCTCGGTTCTGGCTTTAGGATCTTGGGTTTAGAGGTTTAGGGTTTAAGCGTTGGGGGTTTAAGGATCTTGGGTTTAGAGCTTTAGGGTTTCGGGGTTCAGGGCTTAGGCGTTGGGTGTTTACAAGTGTTTGGGCTTTGAAACCCCTTCCGACTCTGCGAGGGTCGAGCTTCTTCAATCCCCACTTTGATTGAAAAAGGGTCTTGGGATCTTGGGTGCAGCTTGGAACAGGGCCTGCAGCCTGGAAGACTATCTTCTTTCGGGGTCCCTTTTTATGATTTGCTCATCTGTCCTTAAAGCGACAGGTGTTTGGGGCCCAGTCAAATCCTTTCCAGGTGGCAGGGGCGAGCGCTGCGGCTCATGGTTGCAGTCGGGCTGGTTGTGAGGATGAGCCCCGGGTCCCACGGATGTCGACCCGTTCAAAGCGGGGTGTATGCATCCTTGTCTGACAGGTCCTTGTCGGCGCCAGCCTCGAGCAGCACCTGGACGATCTCTAAATGACCCACACAAAAAGCCATGCACAACACTGTGTGACCGAGTGAGTGTGGCAAGTTGGGATCGTGGTGCTTGGACAGCACCCGCTCAACTTCCGGAAGGGAGCCATTCAATGCTGCGTCTACTTGCTCTTCTGCTTGGTCTTAGGTCACGCCAGCGAAGCGCAACAACACAAGATGCAGGTCCATGGGCGTATGAAGCACTGCAGTGTCCTTCAAAGTCTCTTCGCGGTGGAGAAGCCTCTGTCTGAGTCGGAGCACATCCGGCCCAAACGAAAGTAAGGGTTCCCTTTTCACACGGCCTGAGGTGCCGGCGCCTATGCAACCCTCATGCAGGGTGCCTCTCGAAGCACTGGCTTGGGAATGGGTCTAGCACAAAAAACCGCAAAGCACCGAGCACTCTGAATTCCTCAAAACAGGCCCGAACCCTTTCCTGATTCTTAAGGCCAGGACCTTTTACTGGAGAAGAATATACCCCCGAACGTACTCTGATTCTTAAGGCCTTTAATTATGCGGCAGGGCTCTTTTTGTAGCTTCCCCAACCCTGCGGCTCCAGGACGAAGTAACCACCTGGCCTGGCAAGGAGGTTTCGGGGGTGAGGGGCTTTAGGGTGCAGGGCTTTTGTTCCATGGGGGTTCAGAGAAGTGTAGGGCTGGGATTCAATGGTTTAGGGCTTCGCCAGTGCTTCAAAACCCATGCTATGAAAGTTCCTCTGCCTACGTGATGGCGACCGAAAGGTTCGTCATCGCGCTAGCCTGCTGCAGCGCAGCTCGAGCATGCATCTGCGCTTGTGCCTTCGGTTTCCTTGTCCCCCTTGGTTCCTTCAGATCAAAACGACGGCGAAGCGAAGATGTGGACGGACTGGAGCCGGAACCCCAGAATCTGGGGGCTTCTGGATATAATAGAATTCTTCTGCAGCGTTGGGAGGGGGGGTTCAAAAAGGATGGCGTTGCTCTTTCTGCAGCTGTTCGGGTTAAGCACTTGCGCATCTATAGTAAACCCTAAACCCTAAACCCTAAACCCTAAACCCTAGTAGACTTGAAGTTGCTGGCAAAACCCATGGGCCCAGCATTCAGGAACCTGGGGCCTCCCTTTTGACCCCCAAACCCTCGCTCCTCGAGTGTTTCCCGTAGGGCTGAGGGTATGTACGGTGGTTTAGGGTTTGGGGTCTTAGGGTGGCATCATCTTCGGCTCGAAAGTTTCGGGTGGAGAAAGACTGCCTGAAGCGAGTGCTTACAGTGTGGAGCGTGGGACTTTTTGGGGGTAGAGCTTGGGGTCAAAGGGTTTAGTGCCCCAGGGGATTTGTGATATCACGCCCTTTCGGGTTTAGAAGTCTCCTGGAGACCACACACCGCCCGTGCAGAAGGCCGGTGCGGGTGGGAGCAGTGGCTCCACTACAACCAGTGGCCTCGCACATTGGATCTTCCAAAAGCCCCAATCCGAACCAACCGTTCGTCCTTATAGGCGCCTTGATTATGCTACCAGAACTATATTCCGGAACCCTAGCGCTTCAAACTTTCCGCCCTACGCATCCAAAGCGCGAACCGACTATCCCTAAACCCTAAACCCTAAACCCTAAACCCTAAACCCTGAACCGTCCGCCGACGCTTTCTTCAGGCCCGCCTCGTCCGTTTGAAACATCGCTTGAACAGGTTGTGGATCCTGGGAGCTGGGTTTA